GAGCTATAGTAACATAAAAATGTACTTTCATAAAAACATATATCAGTGCAACAGGATACCTAGAAATATTCCCAATCAACTACATACATCTCATTCTAAAAGTCATGTGCAATCCTACATTAGTGGAAGTTGACACCTGTAGTAAATAGTGGAACTGTGAAAACTGAGTATCCATATGACAAAAATTAGGCTGGTTCTTTCATATTCTTCAAAAGGATAAAAGTAAAAACTCATTACTATTTTTAATAGGAAACTCGAGGATTGAAAAATGGCAGATAAGGTTATAGTGGAAATTCTTCAAGATATAGGCACAGGAATAATTCCTGACAGAACACAAATGCTTCACAAAATAATAGCAAAATTTATGCTCCAGTTTGGGCACGGTGGTGGAATCATTTGTTTCACTCACAAGATGAAGAATCCCACCCTCAGTACAGTTTAAAATGTGATGTCATGAAATTGAAATCTTTCAGCCAGCCAGGTATGAGACCCACATCTTCAATTATCATAGTTTAAAGTCAGTCTGGACAGAAAAGTACTGTGTGACTTATCTCCAGTGAACCAGCAATAAGGTGAAAGTGCAGTTATGCCTCTCAACCTTGAGCAAATGTGTCAAGTAAAAGGGAGATGCATCTTGTCAGAACCAGAGTACTGGCACCAAAACAAAAAAAAAAGTGTTAAAGTTCCAGAACAACAAAAGAAACAATTAATGAAGTGAAGACTCAGGCAAATAAATGGCTGTAAACCTTCCTTAGCTATACATCTATTAGGGCTTAATATCATAGTATGAAACAACACTGAAATTTAAACACCAAGACAAAATTAATCCTACCATGAAACAGGCACATGAAGTGAAAAACTTTTTTCAAATGAAAAAGTACAAATAAGAAATCCAAACAGGAAAAATATCTAACCATTATAACAATTATCACAATGCAAACCACAGGTATTCTGAATTACCTTATCATGTAACCCACAGTGGCTTTATTCAAAACACAAAATTACAAGTTTAGTGAAGATATATAGAAATAAGAATCAATGAAGATACCTCAGGATATTAACATTAGAACTCATATTTGACAGAGCTATATCACTTCTAGCTATCTCTCCAATACATGGAGCTCAGGTTTCTGTACAGATGCATGTGTAAACATGGATGTCATTTTATATCAACTAGCCAACTTATGGAATTACCCAGGATGTCCAACAACAGATGAATGGATAGGATATATCATCAGTATATGAAGATGACTTCTCTTCCGCAAAAAAGAAGAATAAATCATACATTTTCTTTTGCAAGAAAAACACATAAAAAAGAGAAAAAGGAAATTATAAATATGGGAGGAGAAACACCGTTTGATGAGACATAATAAATGGTTACAAATATTGGGGGTGACTACAGTCAAAGTACATGACATGAAATATAGAAACACAGATTGTGACCCCAAGTCCTATATTGTAGTCAAAATTGAAAAACATTGGCATAAAACCTACTGGTGTGACACTGAGTTCATCTCTTCTTCCCAGTGACATCCAATTGCTCTGCTGCATTTACCTATATCATTGACTTCATAAATAACATACAATGATCTTCACCTTGTAACACATAATTTTTATAGACCAGATCGTAGGATAATGAGGCCAGATTTCTCTGATTTCCATTAGCAGCCTTTGCATACCGGTAAGTAGCTGAGAAACATCCATCAGCTGCAACCTTAACATTCTATGTGCCTGTACAAGTGCACTAACAAAAACATTCCAATATAATTTATGGTATCAAGGGAAGGAAAAATCAGGTAATGTGGAAAAGTAGAGGAACATAAGAAAGACGAATATCTAGGAATGGTATGAAGGATTAGGACATTTACAAATTTATTCTAAAGCAGTGAAAGAATTCCAGATCCTGTCATCTCTGCCTCCAAATGTGGCCAGCCACCTCACATTTTATCCTTGTCACACCAGCACTGGAAAAGAGGTGGGAGTATGGCTACAGGCAATGGCATTCTGTTGCAACAGGAAACAAATTGTGATGCTACAATAAAGTGAAGAACTCATGATCCTGGAAAGGACAAGCTACATGGCAAGAAACCAGAGACCTCTCTTCCAACTTGGAAGCATATAAATAAATAAATAAATAAAGCAAATAAAACTGATACTGCATCTCATTGCTTGATGAGAGATTGAGGAAGAGTATACAGAAAGCATAGTTGTGAGCCCCCAGAGGTTCTTCATGCATTCCCCATCCTGAGATCAAAAGAGTAAGTAGAAGTAAAACTATGGAGGTATTACTTACACTCTGTTTGCTTCATCATGTGAAGAATCACTGTTACTGCGATCTGTTCCCAAAGTGTGGAGAGGGAAGAACCCAGCAATCATCACATCTCCATCCATGTGTGCCCTATGCTTCATTCTAGAAAAGCAGGTGGTGCCTTCTAAGGAGCTGACAAGTGGAAGCTGGAGAAGAAGGAGGGTGAAAATCAAAGGGAACATCACTGAAGCATCTACCAAGCTGGAATTCTGGCTGGAAGTGAAGTCCATGGGATCAGGTACAGATAAATAGCTTGTATTTGCATCTATGTGTGTATGTGCCTTTTTGTTGACAGGATGGCCACTCAGCTTCTGTCATTGCAAACTTAGCATTTCCCGGTAGGAATGTGGATAACTCTCAGCCCTGCAGTTCTGCATCTGAGGCTCAACATCTGGGAAATAAAAACAAGTTGGAAAACATGTTTTCCAGTTGTCCTCTCCACCCCAGATGTTATGCTGTCATCCATGACCACAGAGAGAAAGACCTTGGGGATGAAGTTTTCTTGTTAGATTCTGTTGGAAACCTGGATTAGCAAATGATTTGTATGAAATCTATTAGGGATGATGCAACTGGAAAACATCAATAGATGCCATATCATGTGAAAGGTGAGGTGGTTCCCGAAGTTTCATGCCAGGCAGATGTCATCCCAACTCTTTAAGGCATCCCACTCAGCAGACATCTCACACACCAAATGTACAAAACAGCAACAGAAAATTGCTGGTTGACCCAAGCCAGTTTCAGTGGAATTCCATGCAGAAGACTCCACAAATGTGTCCATCTATGCTTGCCTGAAGAATGAATGAACATGTTGAATTCAGCAATGGATAATAGCATAGAAGTTGAGCTGCAGAATTGTATTCTCAACTTGACCTTCACAAAGGGCATTATCACTGGACATCATGAGTACATGATCAATATACTGCCAGGAAGCATTGATACATTCATTACCTTGGGTGTCTGTATTTATACTTTTCTGAGAACCTGTGCCTGCCCAATCAACCCTTTCTCCCCTATCAAAACCACCTCTATAATTCCTACCACTCAAATATAGTGGACATTGAAACTATACAAACTTCTCAATGTCTCTATAGCAATGGCTGTAACATGCAGTGAATTTATTCTATTCCTTCATCTTTACTATAATAGTTTCAGCATTTCGTGTTTGATTTAAGATTTCAAGGTGGAAAAACAAGGAAAAGTCACAATGTAAGAATCTTATCAGAGCTGTATATAGTGTGCAGGAGAAGATGGTCATAATTGTGTTCATAAGGAGAGAAGTTTTGGTGTCAATGAGTGGAGAAGGTGAGTCAGCACATGTGAAGACCTGGGGTCTTTGCAGGCTGAGAGAACATGCCTGGCTCATAGTCTAGAAGGCTCCATGCAGCCAGCAGTGACTTCCACTATTGCAAGAAGGAAAGCTTCTGAGGTACAAACCTTTTTCCATAGCATGTATTTTTTCATTAATTAGGTTTTTTTATTGTGAAAATACTGTACAGAGGGATTACAATTACATGAGCAAGGTAATGAGTATATTTCTTATCAAGCATTGTTGCCTCCTCCTTTGTTTCTCCTTCCCATCTCTGCCCTCCCATCCCCCGCCCCGCCAAAGTTTTAAAGTTCATTTTTCGACATAACGTCTTGTACATCTCATTGTTGCAATGAGTCCACATGCATCCCTATTTAAACAATTTGTTTTTTCCCTTCCCCTCCCCAAACTATACCAACATCAAAAACAGTTAAAACAGGGGTTATACCATGGGGGAGGGACATACAAAAGCATCAAAGAAATCATCTTATAAATATGTTAGAAACAATAGCAAGAAATAAAAACCATTTGAGTCCTTAAGATTAGTAGTCTATTAACAGATCTAGGGTTGACAAATTCTTCACATATGCTGATATGCAATCTAGTACATGCATGTCAAGTAATGAGAAAAAATAGGAGAGAAACTTACATAAGACCTCAGTTACACATGGAGAAAATTACCTTTTCCTACCATCACTCCATGTATAGTTTAGAATCCTTGAGGCCATTTGAGGGGTTCTAGGATTCTTGAGAGTTGTTACCAGGTGTTTCAAGGTGAACTTGACTTGTGGGAATTAGTGAGACCCCCCCCCCAATAGTTCTTAACTAGAATGAAATATATGCCACAGATTTCTTAACAATGCTTAAAAAATGTGCTACATTTCTATGTACTGTTAACCCTCCGGTTTATAAGTGAAACATTCTCCTTTATGATGATATATTTACAGGACAAGCAAGGTTAACATCTCATCAGAATAGCGTATATTCCCTCTAATGAAGAGTAGAAAAGTAACCTTCATATATACATACATACTAATATGTATTTTCTCTTATACTTTTGCAACGTACACTTTGATTATTTACAAGAGGCATCTGAATTCATGTAATGCTCAGTATAAGAGAACTCCCATCATTTTCTTACCATGTCTTCTACATTATTGTGTAAAAGTATAAACATCTTTTTTTTTTTTGGAAGAAATCAGTTTATTCTAACTAACTCAAAATAACATCAGAATAATGAAGGCCATACAAACAGCTGTCAGCCTCAACTCTATACCATTTCAGTGAACTTGTATTAAGAGTAACAATACCCTCTTCCATGGCCACTCTTGAGGCAACAATGCAATTAACAACAAGAAGTTAACTTATAGTTTTACACTTTATAGTGCCACTACCAATTACATTTCTATGTTAAATTAACTTGGTCATCAGAGGTGATTTTCCATTTCTTCAACTTGAACTTCATGGTTAAACTAGTCCATTTGCAATTCTGCACTGCTTCAGCTCCTCATTGAAGCCCTCACAGAGCTTAAAATCACCCTGGTTCTGGGCACACTCCAAAAACTGCTTTATTTCATAGGAGCATGGGCCACTAAGCTGCTGCTGCTGCTGCTGCTGCTGCTGCTGCTGCTGCGCCAGCTGAGTTCCCTGGGGCTCCTGATAAGTGATGTCTGGCCTGGCAGGCTCAGCATTACCAGCTCCACTGAAGCCACCAGTGATGGCATGGCCCAGTGTGTGCCCAACGGCAGAGCCCACAGCTACACCAGCGGCTGTGGACGCCATCTGGGCCATCAGCCCAGGCTGATGGGGAATGGCTGCAGGAGAGCCCACAGCAGATGCTGGGGCTGCCATTGGAGGTTGGGCTGCAGGAGCTGACCTGGGTGCAGCTCTCATCTGTGGGGCACGGCTGGCCGGTGGGGCCAATGCGGGAGGTGCGGCTCTGGCTTCCACGCGGCATCTTGCACCCCAACGAGGAACCACGTCCAGAAACGACGAAACCTACGAAGCCATAAGCATCTTTAAAAGTAAATTATTCCATCTAAGTCTTTCTGCTTATTTTACCAATAAATGTAAGCACTAAAAACATCTTCATCAAAATTTTATATCAATGTAATATCTGATGCATAATTTTGTCCTAAAGAAAATTTTGTGGATTTGTGATATTTTGATTTTTTTCATGTTTTCATCCAGTCTTTTCCAATAGCCTAGATTCTCTATTTTTTCAACCCCTTTGTGTTTCTAAGTTGCTGGTTCATCTCATTTATTTCAGTTTATTGTCCCTTTGAAGCCTACCTAAAGGCTTCTCTGGTTTAATTTCTGAAGAACTTCCTTTGTAATTCTGTTTGGATATGTGGGGGGGGGGGCACATGTGTGTTTGTGCTAGTTCTGGAGCTTGAACTCAAGGTTGTAACACTGCCCCTTAGCTTTTTGCTAAAATTGTGGTGTTGTGTTAGAACTCAGTCACCAATGAACAAAGAAGCCATATTTTGAGAGGTCACATTTGCAGTATTTATTGAAGTGCTGGCAACTGCTGGCGGACCTATGTCTCAAAGACCTGCAGCCCAGAAATGATCTTTTTCTCTTTTTTTTCTTATAAAAATGTTGTACAGAGGGGTACAGTTACATGAGCAATGAGTACATTTCATAGCCAGCATTGTTACCTCCTCCTTTGTTTTTTTCCTACCATCACTGCCCTCCCCTCCTCCCCCCACCCAGGCCTTGTAAAATTCGCTTTCAATATAGTGTATGATAAATCTTGTCCTCACAATGGGTCAGCCTGCATCCTCATTTAAGCATTCTGCAATATCCCTTACAAAAAAAAAAAAATATATATATATATATACACACACACGTAAAAGGTGCAGAGCACCAGTATCAAATCCAGTGGTTATAGAAACAAAAGAATCACATAATCTATTGTAAATACATTAAAAAACACTAGCGAGAAAGAAAAAAAACAAATAACAAACCTATTGTGTCCCTGTCTTGGGGTACATTTTGCTTAACATTATCTCATATGGTCATATGTACTTAGCCTTTTACCTCCTATGCTTGTCCTAGACATGTACTGGTCTCTGAAGACAAGGGAAACCATGGGACCTATGTTTTTTTGGGTCTGGTTTATTTCACTTAATATGATTTTCCCCCAAGTCTTTCCCTTTCCTAACAAAAGAGGCAATATCATTTTTTCTGACGGAGGCATAGAATTCATATATATATATATATACACATATATATATATGTATATATATAACATTTTCTTGATCCATTCATCTACTGAGGGGCATCTGGGTTGGTTCCATATCTTAGCTATGGTAAATAATGCTGCGATAAACATGGTTGTGCTGGTAGCTTTGGTATGACCTTGTTTGTGATCCTTTAGGTAAATGCCTAAAAGTGGGATTGCTGGGTCATAGCGGAGCTCTATGTGGAGTCTTTTGAGGAACCTCCATACTGCTTTCCAGAGTTGAACAAGTTTACACTCCCATCAACAATTCAATATGGTTTCCTTTTGGCCACATACCCTCCACCATCTGTTATTAGATTTCTTGATTATAGCCATTCTAGGGGGTGAGGTGGAATTTCAGCATTGTCTTGATTTGCATTTCTTTCTTTCTTTCTTTCTTTCTTTCTTTCTTTTTTTTTGAATCTGGGCCTGAACTCTGGGCCTGGGCGCTGTTCCTCAGCTCTTCAGCTCAAAGCTAATACTCTACCACTTGAGCCACAGTGCCACTTCCGGCTTTTTTCTTTTTTCTTATGTGGTGCTGAGGAATCGAACCCAGGGCCTCAGGCATGCAAGGCAAGCGCTCTACCACTGAGCCACCTTTCTAGCCCCTTGTGTTTCTTTTATGGCTAGAGAAGTTGATCATTTCTTCATGTGTCTATTGGTCATTCTTATTTCCTCTTCAAAGAAGTCTCCCTTTAAATCTTTAGCCCATTTGTTAATCGGGCAGTTGTTTCTTTGAGGATTTGTTGTTGGGGGATTTAGTTTGTTTGAGTTCTAAGTAGATTTTAGACATGAGACCCTTGTCTGTTGTATGGCTAGTGAAGATCTTCTCCCAGTCTGTGCGCTTTCTGTTGATCTTGCTAGCTATGTCCTTTGACTCTGCAGTTTCATGCAATCCCATTTGTCCAACCTTTCTTTGATTTGTTGTGCTTCTGGGTCTGTATTAAGAAAATTTTGGCCTCTGCCAAGAAGCCCTTGAGTTTCTCCTATTCCTTCCTGTAATGTTTTCATGGAGTCTGCTTTTATTTCGAGGTCATTGATCCATTTGGAGTTGATTCTGGTGCAGGGATCTAGTTTTAGTTTTCTACAAATGTTTAACCAATTTTCCCAGCACCATTTACTGAAAAGGCTTTCTTCCATTCTATTTCTTTAGCTCCCTTGTCAAAGATTAGGTGGCTATAGGTCTGTGGGTTCATTTCTGGGTCTTCGGTCCTATTCCGTTGGTCCTCAGGTCTGTTCTTGTGCCAGTACCAAGCTGTTTTTATTACTATGGCTTTGTAGTAGAGTTTGAAGTTTGGAATTGATATTCCTCCAGCACTGTTCTTTCTACTAAGGATTGTTTTTTCTCTTCGGGGTCTTTTATTGTTCCATATGAATTTTTGGACTGCTTCTTCTGTTTCATTTAAGAATGAGGTTGGAATGTTGATAGGTATGGCATTGAATTTGTAGATCACCTTTGGCAGTACTGCCATTTTTACTGTTAATCCTCCCAATCCAGGAGCACGGGAGGTTTTTTCCACTTGCTTAATTCTCCTTTAATTTCATATTTCAGGTTTTTAAAGTTTTCATCATACAGACTTTCACCTCTTTTGTTAACTCCTAAGTATTTTTTTTCCCTTGTGGCTATTACAAAAGAGGTTGCTTTCCTAAGTTCAGCCACGCTCTTCTCATTATTGGCATACAGGAAAGCCATTGAGGATTAATTTTGTATCCTGCTACTTTCTCAAAACTTCCAATCAGCTCAAGTAACTTGGGAGTGGAGTCCATGGGATTCTTTAAATACAAGATCGTGTCATCTGCAAAGAGGAAGAGTTTTACTTCATCCTTCCCTATTTGGATCCCTTTTATGTCTGCATCTTGTTTTATTGCTGTAGCTAGGTGAAGAGCTAAAGTAACTCCATTTTAAGATCAACCCCCTGAGCTGTGCTGCCCTCAGAGTAAACCCCAAAGAGAGCTGTGCTGCCCTCAGAGTAACCCACAAAGAGAAAAATAGTTCTCGGAAAAACCACAGGTTGCCACCAACTCTGCCCACCCTTAAGGTACAGAACAGTTGTCTAAGTGTTCCAGAAAAAGGAAATTGTGGTCAGGGTGGACTTAAACCCCCTGAACTTGTGAACTTGCTTTTGTGGAAACCCCCTGAACTTGTGAACTTGTTTAATACTATAAAAGCTGTGCTGATTCTATGCTCGGGGCCTCTTAGCATCACCGGTTACTGAGTGCATGGAGGACCAAACTTGAGCTTGCAATAAATGACTCTTTGCTGCTTGCATTGATCATGGTCTCTGGTGGTCTGTGAGGGGACATCTGAAATCAAGCACTTCACTAGGCATTCTAATACTAGGTTGAAGAGAAGTGAGGAGAGTGGACACCTTTGTCTCATTCCTGAATTTAGAGGAAATGGCTTTAGCTTGTCACCATTAAGTATAATGCTGGCTGTAGGTTTGTTATTTATAGCCTTTATTATATTGAGGAATGTTCCATGGATTCCTAGTTTTTCCAGAACCTTCATCATAAAGGGGTGTTGGATCTTCTCATATGCTTTTTCTGCATCTATTGAGATAACCATGTGGTTCTTATCTTTGCTCTTTTTGATGTGATGAATTATATTGTATTGCATATATTGAACCAGTTTTGCATCCCTGAAATGAATCCTGTTTGATCGTGGTGTATGATTCTTTTGATGAATTGTTGAAGTCAATTGGCCAAGATTTTGTTGAGAAGGTTTGCGTCAATATTCATCAGAGTAATGGGTGTATATTTCTCTTTCTTTGATGATTCCCTGCCTGGTTTTGGGATGAGGGTGGGTTATGCTGGCTTCATAAAAAGAGTGTGGTAGTGAAAATGTCATGAATGATTAGGATATGTACAAATTTATTATAAAGCAGTGAAAGAATTCCTGATCCTGTCACCTCTGCCTCCAAATGTGGCCCTCCATCTCACATTCTATTTTTGTTACCCCAGCACTGAAAAAGAGGTGGGAGCCATTGCTATAGGCAAATACATCTATTTCAATATGAATCAAATAGCAATGCTGGAATAAAGTGGAGAGATCATGACCCTGGAAAGGAGAAGTTACAAGGAAAGAAACCAGAGACTTCTCTTCCAACTTGGAAGCATAGTACACACCTAATAAAACCAATATTTCTACTGCATCTCATGTCTGATGAGAGTTTGTGGAAGAGGATACAGAAAGCATGATTGTGAGTCCCCCAGGGCTCAGGCATTCCAATCCTGGGAACAAAAGAGTAAGTGGAACTAAAATTATGGAGGAATTACTTACAGTGTGTTGGCTTCATTATGGGAAACATCACTGTTACTCCGATCTGTTCCCAAAGTGTAGAGAGGAAAGAACCCAGAAATCATCACATCTCCATCCATATATGCCCTGTGCTTCATTCTAGAAAAGCAGGTAGTGCCTTCTAAGAAGCTGACAAGAAGTGGAAGCTGGAGAAGAAGGAGGGTGAAAATCAAAGGGAACATCACTAAAGCATCTGCCAACCTGGAATTCTGGCTGGAAGTGAAGCCCGTGGGATCAGGTGGACATATATATCTTGTATTTGTGCCTATGCGTAGATGTGCCTTTTTGTTGGCAGGGATGGCTACTCAGCTTCTGTCATTGCAATTTTCTGCATTTCCGGGTAAGAATGTGGAAAACACCCAGCCCCGCGGTTCTGCATCTGAGGCCCAGCATCCGGGAAATAAACACAAGTTGGAAAACATATTTTCAAGTTCTCTCCACCCCAGGT